GCAGCCCTCACCTGGCCAGCCCCCACCTGGCAGTCCCCACCTGGCAGTCCTCACCTGGCAGCCCCCACCTGGCAGCCCTCACCTGGCCAGCCCCCACCTGGCAGTCCCCACCTGGCAGCCCCCACCTGGCAGCCCCCACCTGGCAGTCCTCACCTAGCAGTCCCCACCTGGCAGCCCCCACCTGGCAGTCCTTGGGCCTTCAGTTTCTTTGTCCATAAAATGGGACTAAAGCTCACACCTGGAATCCTGGTAGTCAGGAAGAAAGGACAACTTCCTGTCACTGTAAATCGTGAATATTTACTCATTTAATGGAAGCAGAGTGCTGCCGGCCCAGATGTGACCAGTGGTCTCCTGGCTACATGGAGTCCAGGTGTGGGTTTTGGTCCCATCTTAGGAACAAGGATACCTGCCCCCATGGGGCTCTCGGTGATCATCTCTGTCATGCTCACACCTGAGCACGGGGAAATGGCCCCTTTCTTTCTCTCCCTGTGTTAAGGCAGAATTGTGTTCCTCCAAATTCCTATGCTGAAGTTCCGACCCCCAGTTCCTCAGTGAGACTGCCTGTGGATGGGGTTTTTAGATAGGTGATTAAGTTAAAATGAGATTATACAGGTGCCCTCACCTAACCTGATTGGTGTCTTTACACTGGGGCCTGTTGGAGGTTGGGGGGCTAGAGGAGGAGGAACAGGGGGTGGGGAGACTGGGGAGGGATAACATTAGAAGAAATACCCAATGTAGATGACAGGGTGATGGATGCAGCAAGCAACCACGGCACATGTACACCTAGGCAACAAGCTGCACGTTCTGCACATGTGCCCCAGAACTTAAAGTATAATAAAATTTAAAAAAAATAAATAAAAAACAAAGAAAATAGATATTGGAAATAGGTGCTCAGTGCCGCAAAAGAAAAATTAGCACTGAAAAGCAACGCAATTTTTACTTCCTGGACTGCAGGAGGGGCACTCTCACTAGCTATTGTGCCACATGAGTACAATGAATAAGGGAAAACACACAAATTTATCCCTTATGCATTTGGGGTCCTCCTTACTGCGGTGTCTGACCTCCGTTGGCTGGAGCCAGATCTCACAATCTAAACTAAAACCCGATTGGCTAACAATTTAAAGCTTTTCTAAACAGGTAAAAGCAATGGAGAGCTGGGACATGCCTGTGAGCACATCCAGCACTGGTATCCTGGTTAAAGTACAAGGACATAGAGTGTACTACATGCCTGTAAGCGTGGCATGTCTAACAGCTACATAGGATAGGGCTTAACAAAGTTATTAGCACACTTACGATTTATTCTTTAACAAGAAAGGAAACTTTAAAAGGGAGTTTTCTACCTCCCACAATAAGAAGAGGAGATGAGGACATAGACGTGCCCAGGGATGACCGTGTGAGGATGCAGGAGAACATGCCATCCCCACGCCAAGGAGAGAGGCCTCAGGAGGGACCAGCCCTGCTGCCACCTTGATCTTGAACTTCCCAGCTCCAGAGCTGTGAGCCGCACACTGCTGCCATTCTGGCACCTGGCCTATGGCCTTTGTGATGGTGGCCAAGCCGAGGGCACCCCTGGGTGATGCATCCGAGGGAGAAGCAGACAGCAGTGCTGCTGACCCCTGCATGCCGTGGTGGGGAGGTGTGTAGGCAGGAGGCTGGCAAAGGGGGGACTGAGTGTCTCTCCAGGGCACGGGGTGCCAGGCCTGGGCATCGGGGAGCTTAGGAGCAGGGTGTGCTCCCTGAAGTATTTACTGCTCCAACCACACCTCAGGTGATATCACACTTTGGGATGGGGTCAGGAGACAGGGAGGGACACATCTGCCCCACCCCAGCCACAGCTGGAGAAGGCCCTATAAAGCCCGGCTGGCCGGATCCAGGCCAGACAGCTCAAGCTCTGGACGAGCCACACCTGCGCACCTGTCACCCCAGCCATGAGGACCCACCTGTCTTGCCTGCTGCCTCTGCTGCTGGTGTGCTCAGGTGGGCTGATTCGCAACCTTGCTGTGGGTCCCCTGGGTCCCTGGGGATGCCGGCACCACTGTGACGGCCTGGGCTGGCCTAGCTGGACCGGCCTCTGTGGTCAGGCACCCATGCTGGCCAGAAGGGAAAGCTGGGGCACAGAGGGCAGGACTCACCAGAGGCCCCACAGGAGGTGCAGCCTGGACCTCAGCAAGCACAGGGTCACAGCCTGGACCTTCGGCCCCATTTCCAGCCCCTGGGCTGCCTGCCCCCTCCGTCTTCCTGGCTCACCCAGAGGCACTGTTGCTTCTGCCCAGTCCTGCAGAGGGTTGCCCCCACTGGCCTGGTGGGCTTTGAGGGGTTCCGGGGGTGCTGGGGATTGCCTGGTAGCCTGGACCTCTCAGAGCTTTGGTTCCCTGCCCCAGGTGATTTCTCGCCCCGGGAAAGCAGAGCCTGTGTGTGCTTCACGGAGCGTAGCACTGGCAGGGCCCAGCGTCCACACGGGTGGGCGGGTGGAGGACGGGGTGCAGGGCTTGGTAAGCTGGCGCCTTCACAAGCAGAGTCCATGTACCTGGCGGTTGTGATGTGGGAGGCTGGGCGGGGACCAGGCTTGGTCTCTGACCACCAGCTGTGCCTTCCCCAGCCCAGGCACTGACCTGCCATGAGTGCTCTGCCACAGGGGACTGTTTCCAGCCCACAGTCTGCCGAGATGACACCCGCTACTGCCTGACCACCTTGACCAGTGAGTGCCTCCCTCTGGGTGGGCAGGCAGGCAGGGCAGTGTGCCTGGGCCTCAGCCGGAGGGCGGGAAGTATCGGGGAGATCAAAGGGGTTGGGGAGACTGGCTTCTAGTCAGAGCTCATGTTTGCAAGCAGTGCCTCAGGCAAATGCCACAACTGCTGGCCCTCCATCCCCTCCCTCCAAAATGAGAATGGCACATTGTCTCCATCCTAAGGTCCTTAGAGCAGAGGAGATATTCCACATGAGATGCCCCCACAGTGTTGGCACACAGGAAATGCTTGATTTAAATCCTTGTAATTGCTGAACAGTGGTTACAGGCTGCTCAGAAAGGAACAGGGAGAAAAGTGGGAGAGTGTGTAAGACCTGGAATCTGCTCAAACACGAGCCTGACCCTAGTCACATACTGAGCCCCGGGCCCTGCTCATACACTAAGCCTTGGTCCTGGTCACACACTGAGACCTGGTCCCAGTCATACTCTGAGCCCTGACCCTGGTCACACGCTGAGCCCTGACCTGGTCACACTATAAGCCCTGACCCTGGTCACACACTGAGCCCTGGTCCTTGTCACACACTGAACCCTGGTCCCTGTCACACACTGAGCCCTGGTCCCTGTCACACACTGAACCCTGGTTCCTGTCACACGCTGAGCCCTGGTTCCTGTCACACACTGAGCCTTGGTCCTGATCACACACTGAGCCCTGGTCCCTGTCACACACTGAGCCTTGGTCCTGATCACACACTGAGCCCTGGCTGCACTTGCCTCTTGCTGTCCATCCTTGTAAGGTGGGAGAACAATGAGGAAGAGTCAGGCAGGCTTTGCCCACCAAGAGGGGCAGGAGTGAATTTCACGGGCCTCAAAAAACAGCCCTCTGCCCTCTGTTTTCCAGCTCCCCCAGGTCATGAAACGATTGTTATAAAATCATGTGCTTACAGCTGCCCTGGCTACCAAGAAAGCCTGGCCGCCTCCAGGGCCTTTTGCTGCAACACGGATCTCTGCAACAGCACAGTGAGCCTCAGAGTCAGCTGGGGGCTGCTGGCGCTCAGCATCTGCGTTGCCTGCCTCAACAGATAGCAGTGGGCTCAGCCCCGGGAATGCTCAAGAAGGGATTGGGAGTCTGCCGCGGACTTGCTTTGTGACCTTAGGCAGGGCACTTGCCCTCTCTGGGCCGCACCTCCAACTGGAAGGATTCCAGGAGCGAATGGACACGCGTGTGGGCTTTGCACGAGACAGTGGGGCTGCATCTGCTCAGGGCCTTTGCCGCTGTCCAGGGTGCTGCATGGTGATTGCAGCCGGGAGAGGTGGCCACCTGCTGGCCTCTCCGGGATAGCGCAATTAGGCGGCCACAGCTGCAAACCTGTTAAGGACGCCAGGTGCCGAGGCAGGCACCTCCGGCCGCCCAGACCGTTGCCTTCCAGCCTTCATCTTCACCAGCATTCCAAGGCTGGGTCCTCCTGAGAACCTGGGATCATGCTGACATGTGCTGCTCTAAGTTGGGTCCCAAGACCATTGGCAAACAGAAACCCTGTGGCGGGCCCTCCTGGTCTGTGTGCAGGGGAGGAACGGCTGCCCGCATGGGGACAGGGGCACCCCAGCACCGTGTGGGTGAGCTCTGGTGGCAGCAGGGGCTGATGTGGGAAATGCCAGGCTGCTGAGCACCCTCGGCTCCCCCAGGACATGGTGTCCCCAGGGTCTGCACCCTGGGGGATGCCCTCCTGGAGGCGGATGCATTAACCCCAAACAGAATCTCAGCTCCTATGAACTCCAGTCCACTCTGGACTTCCAGAGCACTGCAGAACAGGAAGACCAAGGGTCAGGTTTTGTCCAGCTGGGAGGCTGGGCACCAATGGTACTCCCCAATGCCCCCCGCCACTGCCTGCAAGCCCAGGCCTCTGGTCTCGGTCAGTGTGTTAATCTGCACATTCTTTAATTAAAAAACCTCATGAGAGTCATCTCTGCCTGTTCCCTGAGTGTGTTAGTTGGCTTTTTCCTTAGAGACCCGAAACCCTAAGATAGCGCACCCCCACCTCCAGGCCCTTCAGTGGAGACCCCCAAATGGGCATTTGTGAACAGAGAAGACTTCACCAAAGCTTCCCTGGAGGGCTTTCCCATGCCCTCTCTCCCAGAGGATGAGCACACAGGTGGCTTCCCCCCGTTTCCCAGCGCTGGGGTGGGGCTGGGTGGGGCCACCTTCCTCACAAAGCCAGGCTCTTCCACAGCTGTAGCCCAGGGGCAGGGCATAACCCGGCTGACTGCATCCCGCTACAGGGATGCTGGTGTGGCCTGTGTCCTCAGCACCCCAGTTGTCCCTCAAGCACACAGGGGCTCTTGAGATGAAACGGTCCCTCTTACCAGTGGGCTTCTGGGACACAGTTGGCCCCAGGCTGGGCTTTCTGCTGAGACGTGCACTTCAAGCACCCAGCAGTGGCTGTTCCTGTGAGTTGAGTGTTTGCAGCTGGTCAAGGGACGCCGTGGGTGCAGACGTTGGTCAGTGTTGTGGTTGGGAGGATTACTGATTTTCTCCGGCAGGAGGCTCTTCAGGCCGAGCGTGGGCGAGGGGCCCTCCCACCTGCAGGGGACCCTATGAACCACGTCCCAGGAGCTGGTTTCTAATGGAAATGATTCCATAGCTGAATCTCCAGGGAAAGAGGGAGTCATCAAAAGGGTCTCCAGTGGAAGTCTCTGCCCTCCTTCTGCACAGTTTCCACCCACCCAGTCCCTGCAAGGCGGACAGGCACAGCCTCAGACAGCTCTAATGACCAGTGCCCTCTCCCTGGGTCTGGAATGGCACTTGGTGAGCATCTAATATGCTGTGGGGTCCTTGAAGCCTGTGTGCCCAGCACCCAGCTTGGGGGAGGGGTGGTTGGGAGGACAGATGGTCTTTGGCTGGGTGCCGGGGAGTGTAGTCACTGTGTGGACCGGCAGGGGGCACTGCCACTCTCCTCATGCCCACGAGGCTGTAGGCTGCCCTCAGCCCCAGGGGCTGGGCACGGGAAGAAGTGGGGTACCTCACATACCCCGATTCCAGCCACCAGCTTCCATCTGCACAGCAGGGTCAAAGAAGATGCCCAGTCACCCCCCCACGCAGGCTGCCCCAGTCATCGCAGTGTGGGCTGACCAAGGACCTTGGGCCTCCACCACCCTCTCGGTATCCATGTGGTTCCACAGAGCCAAACTCTGACCTCAACAAAGAAACTCCCAACGGGGGGTCTCCGGGGGCCCTGGGGGGCTGCAGACTTGAACACTGGGCACTTTATCACACTCGAAAGCAAACTGGTGCAGTCAGGGGTGCTGGCTCGCGTTTTCTAATAAACAGTTTTAAATTCAAAGCAGTGCCGCATATGAATATGTGCTGTGACAGAGTGAGATAGTACAGCTCTGTGGAGGGTCAGGAAGCTAGAGACTCCCTTTAAATCATCTCCCCAAACTCCCTTCCTCAGAAAGTCGACCCATTGCATGCTCTCTTCCCTCAGCACAGCCTGGGTCCTGGCCTTTGGTGAATAAAACTGTCCCTGCCCTGCGTCCGGGAGCTTCCAGCCTGGAGGCGATGGGGACAAGCCAGTGTTGTCCTTAACTTGATGTGTAAGTGCCTGGTGAGAGGGGTTGGGTGTGGGAGTGTGTGTGGCTGGGATGGCCCCTGGCTTGGGGCTCATGTGAGGCTCCTGCTCCCCACCCCGCATAGGTGTGGACACAGGTGTGGGCACAGGTGGGCAGGGAGTATGGTGCAGCTGCAGCTCAGTGTGTGAGTGTCTGGGGTGGGGGTGGTGAGGGTGTCTGGGGTGAGGGTGGTGAGGGTGTCTGGG